TGCCTGTTTATTAGGCAAGAATAGCCTGCCGGCCCGGAAGCAGTGCATTGTGGTAGGCCGAAATACACCGAAACGATCGAGATTTCATCTGCCTTATAATATGTGGATAGATGTGATATTCGATTCAATAAATAATCGAGGAAATTTCGGTGGAGTTTCGTACAACGCGATTAATGCCAAAACACACTTTACTAATTTTAATCCGATTACAGTTCGAGGTGATAACAGAGAGCGGAAAAACCCCGCCAAATCTAATATCGTCTTTTACGGAAATTGAAATTTTCTCAGATTGTCCCCACAAAAATAGTTTAGAAACGCGCACGTTTTATCCGATTCCCTCCAAACTTTGCCACATGCAATGTTGAACAATAGTACATGAACAAAACCGGGTTCGCGTTTTTTATTTAGTGTCATACTTTTCAAGTTATGGGCAGTGGCGGCGCCAAGGGGGGGGGGGCAAATGCCCCCCCAATTATTTTCTGCCCCTCCCCCCCCCATTTTGACCCCCCCTCAAAAACAATTATTAGTCATTGAGAGCGACTAAAGGTCACACAAGCGTTTGTCGTTATCGGAAAATGTATGTCTTATATACGGTTGTCATTACTCATTAGTGAATGCGCGTATACATGAAACTGTTTTTTACAGTTTCAATATTAGTTTGTAAATCTCTAAATGGTAAAACTTGCCAATACTCCAATGGACGACTTGCGCTTTAGAAAAATTTTTAATCTGGGAATAACAAAGGATATTTTCGGAAAGAAGTTATCAAAATTAGAAAAACTGCAAAGTTTGGTTGCGAAATGTTGTAAAATACGGCAAATTTGTATACATTTCTATTACGTGCGGAAATTGGTAACTAATTTAGTTACCAATTCATTCACGTAATACAAAAGTATACAAATTTGCCAACTTTGAAGGGCTATACTTTCCGTATTTTATAACTTTTCGCAACCAAAATTTGTAATATTACTAATTCCAAGACGCTCTTTCCAACTGTGGTGACAGATTTCGTTGTTCTTACTTAGATTAAAATTTAGTCTAAAGCGCAAGTCGTCCATTATACAATTCACAAAAGACGAAAAAGCTTTAGTTTTGCAGAGTTAAATTCTCAAACGTGTAAGGCACTAATAAGAAATTAGAAAGAATAGAAATTATTTGAATAAACCACATCGCATATATGGGGGGCGAGTATCCTAAACGGGGTGATATTCCTATAGTGTATTCGCCCCCGGGGACGATATTCCTAGGAATATTTCCCCCCTTTTGAGAGGGAGGCGAATCTCCTGGGGGGGGAGAGGGCAGAAGTCATGTGCAAATAGCAGTACCTTTTTAAAAATTCTATCTTGCCCCCCCCCCCCTCAAAAAAAATACGAGTTTGCCCCTCAAATGCCTCCCAAATTCTGAGACCTGGCGCCGCCACTGGTTATAGGCATCTATTTTGCAGTTCTCCCAAAATTTAGATGAGTCAACTTCTCTGCTTTATATCAACGCAAATACAATACCTGTCAAAAAACGCGAACATGGTTTTGTTCTTTGATCATTTGAGATGGGAAATATTATGTTTCGGAAGCCTTTGAGGTCAATTAAAAGCGTTCTAATCTCTTGGCGCAAAGGCCTTCGTATTTTCAAAAGCAACCCGCAGCAAGTACAGTTTTTAAAGATGTAGAATTTTTGGCAAATCGTTAGCCACAGTAACGATTTATCATTATGCATGCAAAATTTGAAGGGGAAAGCTTGAAAATTGAGCGCGCGGTGAGCATTTTGGTAAAATAGGTTTCCATCATCCACACACAAACCAATATATTACTGTTAAAGTGCCTATGACACGAAATTTCACCCCAAAGGTTTGTGGTTGCATGCATTGTAAAGATCACTTAAAATGACTTAATAATTTTATTTATAGAATTTTGGTAACTTGCTTCTTTTCCAAGATATTCAACTAACTTTGTTTCATATGCTAATATCACCAGTGTGACATCACATCACATAATGAGTTCTCAGAAAGTATAGTTTTCTTGACGAATACGTATCTAAAAAACTTAAAAATTGCCCTTGTATGTGTATTAATTTCATAACTGGTAATTAACTCTCTGTATTTGTTTGTAAAAATATTTTATCAAGATAAAATATTGCGTTTTGAAAATGTCACTATGCGATCTCGATGTCACACCGGTGATATTTGCATTTATAATATAGCATTTGTATATTCTGAACGCTGAATGGCTAAGAGCCGTGTTGATATAACTCAATGTCAACACGGTAACGTCGGAAAATTTCTTTCTTTATATTTCTTTGCGCTGTATTATAGAACAAATATAAAACATTTTTCCGCATTGATATATAGTTATATCAACACTCGGAAAATTGGGAAAACTCGAAATTGTGTGAAAACACTCCGCCCTTTGGGCAATTTCTTGTTTTCCCAGTTTCCACTCGTGTTGATATAACTGTATATATATCAACACGAAAAATGTTTTTTATTTGTTAAATGAAACAAAGTTGAATGTCTTGCAAAGGAAGCAAGTTACCAAAATTCTATAAAAGAAATTATTAAGTCATTTTAAGTGATCTTTACAATGCAATCATAAACATTTGGGGTGAAATTTCGTGTCATAGGCACTTTAAATACATGCTTTAATCCTACTATTAATTATATGGACGTTCTTTATTGTATTTCACGGAATTTTCCATGTAGGCTTTAAAACAATCATTGAAGAAAAAACAAATAACTGTGTTTGAATAATTAAACCATATAGGCTTAGTACAAAAAGATCATTTTAATAACTACGTTACGGCGTATAACTCCATCTTCAGGTTAAAAAGTAACTAAAGATATAAAACTTTAAAAACAATTACAAATTTAGACAAAATCCGTTAGGATTGCGTATAATAGCTGACGTGCGCTTCAAACTAATTCGTGTTCGTGCGTGCGCTTAATTTTTTTTTTGTTCATGGCGTGTCCGTGAGAGCGTTAAATTTTCGTGTCCGTGCCTGCAAATGTAATTACATTAAACTATATACAAAGTCCCTTAACTTCCTGCAGCTCATCCTTAGAGTTCAGGCCAGGTTGCATTCTTTCAATGTAGAATGCCTCCATGACCTTTCTTTCCAATGTTCCTTTTTGTTTTCTTCAACATCGATGGAATAAGCTTAGGCGATTGACCCGGGTGTAATTGTGTTTGTCTAAATTTGTAATTTTTTTTAAAGTTTTATATCTTTAGTTACTTTTTAACCTGAAGATGGAGTTATACTCCGAAACGTAGTTATTAAAGTGATGTTTTTGTACGAAGCCTATATGGTCTAATTATTCAAATACAGAATTACTAAAGTGCGGCTTAGAGAAAGTTCCGTCATACAAGATTTGAAGAAACAAATAACTGTTATACTGTAGTTATCTTCGCAGGTGTGTTTAATTTTCTTGATAATGTAAAGCGAAAGTATCAAATGTGTACTATAGTTAAAATATGATCAGCTGATCTTTATGGGCATTTACAATGGCGAGCGGGCATTTACTTGTTTGCTTTATTAGTATTCTCTGCCCATGGGGACAATCTCACGCTTCATTAGCATGCTATTAAAACTTAAATTAGTATTGTTAACTTTCAAAAACATCCATGCTTCTCAATTAGTATTGTCAACTTTCATAAACATCCCTCTAACACGACTTTCTGGTCAGTCTTTAATGCGGTTTACAAGTGTGCACATGTGACCTAAATACAGCATCGTGATTTGTTTGTGGCCTTATTAATTATTCATGAATTTTACACGTTTATTTAAGAAAACTCTTCGAAACTAGTTAGATTATTTATGACGGAATAATAGCCACCAAAATCCAGCCTTGTCAGAGCCTTCACATCTACATAATCCCAATGCAAGTTTGACATTAAAGTATCATTCTGAACTTTAAGTTTAATCTTGTAGATCAGTAATGGCTAGCACTTCCAGTACAACCCCCGTATCAAACGAAGAACGAAGATGGGTTGTCATTGGTGTATGTTTGACCAAAGTGCTCACTTCTGCATTGAGAAATGTTCTTGCAACCGAAATGCCAAAGTGGCATCAACTTTTATGTCAACCACCGACCGAAATCGACAAACAAGTGTTTGGTGGACACCAGAAAAAGTTACACCCATCAACTTTGAACCTCAACTATAAAAGTATCAACAACAATGATGTCATTGGACCACCTAGCGCATTTGATTATGCAGTTAAGGATCCATTGTCTTTGGCAAAGTTGTTTGTTAAACCATTCATGTCCAAGTTCACTGGCTTTGACGTAACAATGGATACGTCTGCAGTCTTATCAGTGATCTGTGAAGCTGCCCCATTTGTAGGAGCTGCTGCTCATGCAAAGACAGTTCGATCAGATATCAGAAACGAGTGGGCACATTGCAACTTTGCAGAATGGACTGACGCAAAATTTAAAGCTGCTTTTCAAAATATGGAAATTTTACTGAAGAATGTGAATCTCCCACCTAATGATGAACAGAAATTGTGTGATGAACTCAATAGCTGGAAAATTAAAGGTAATGAAATTTTATATCCATAGACATGGGAGGATTCTAGATTTTGACAAATTCAGAGTATCCAAGTAGATAGTATAGCATCTATCTCGGTATCTAACATTGGTTTCAGCATCCCAGATTTGCTTAATTTATTTGTATTAATTGTACACAGTGTTGTAAAAATTACCAAAAAACGTAATGGATAGAAATTACAATTCCTTCTTCGAAAAGGTAATTATTACAAATTACTTTCGTTCAAAAGTAAGTAACCCATTAAGGGCCAGCGCTCTCCCCTTGACGAGTAAAATCGTCTGGCGTTAGACAGAGTAAAATACTAAAGTAAGGTGCATCAGGGTACATCGCCACTCAATGGGTTAATTAATTACGAATTACTGTAAGTACCTGTTAAAAAGTAATTGATTACTAATTACTTGCGCGCGAGATTACTTTTTACTTAGACGCGCTAATAAGGTTGAACTGCTATAATATCAAAATGCACCTACTGTGAGGAACATACAACTGCGTTGAATTTCGTACTTAATTTGAATAGGGCAATCTCGATGCAGTCGCATAACCACTTAACCCTCCACAGACATTCAACTTCAATGCCATTTCCTTCTGAAATTTACTGATATATATAGTAAGGTTGGAAAAAATTAAAAAAGCACGCAGAAGTAACGCAAATTACTTTCTTCAAAATGCTACTCGTTACCTTAAAAAAGTAATTAATTACTTTGCTACAACAGGTAATTAATTACCGAAAAATTACTCAAAAAGTATTTAGTAATTAGTAACGCGTTATTTTAATAAGGAATATTTAGGCGACACTGATTGTAGGCTACAATTCCATAAAAGCATTGCACTGATTGTAGAATTCCATAAAAACTTAGCATTGAGTAGCACCAAAGTTGCTTCTCTGTTTGCATAACCATGCATTTATGTGTTCATTCCTCATTTATTTGAGTCCGCCACTTTAAAAACAAAGATCGAAGATTGAGATATATTAAGAGAATTGAAAAACACTTTTTGAGATTGAGTTTTATAAAACCAATACTAAAAGATGTGCCGTAACAGAAACTAATGAATAATTGATGCTAAACATCATCATTGTGTACTTGCAGGGACCGCAGAAGGGGGGAGGCGGGGAGGGGGGGCATGACCCCCTACTTTTTCGGTGGATAAAGAAGTTACCGGATAAAATCCAGCCTGCCTGCGCGACATATAGCTCCCGTGCTTGCTGCCCCCCCCCCCGCCAAACCCCCCCCAAAAAAAAACACCTTTCAAACAGACTCTGCCGTCCCTGGCATGTAAGAATGATTTTCTTAACATAACTAAGATTGCAACTTTATTACAGGATTTCAGTTGTGTTTTGGTCAAGCTGTCGACAATGAAATCTTGACTTTACTCAGAAGTGAAGTAGATGAACTTTTTGAAACTGTTCAGACATGGAGTTCAGAAAAAGAACAGGTTTGAAAATTATTTCATTTCCCATTGCAGGTGTAAGCTGAGACATTTATTTGGTACAAAATATTAAAAAATTATTTACTTTACTGAAGGATTAAAATCCTCAGCCACTAAAACCCTTAAAACCAACAAAGTAACACACAACTTTATAGACGGCCGGCCAAGTCATCAATTTGTACAACTGGATGGCAACTTTATGTTAGAAGTTGGTAACAGGCATTTTCTTATAGTTCAAGCCTTGGTGAACAAGACTATATGTGTTACCACTTCTGATTTTTGCTTTATAGCCAAAAATTTGAGAATTTTTAAATTTTGCCTATTAAATTACTATGATAGGAAAAAATGTAAAATTTCATGTTCTCTTATACGAAAAATAAGCTATACCACTAGAAAGAGCGTAAAAAACTATATATAAAAAAATTAAGTGAGTTCTACATTTTCCCAATCCTATTTCGAATTTTTAATGTTAAAAAATGCAGAAATTACCAAATTAATGCTAATTAGTACCCATTTTGCCAACTTTAACCATCTTTAATTCAAAATCGGCTTGAAAATCGCACTAGTCGCTTAATTATCTTATATATAGTTTTTTGCGCTCTTTCTAGTGGTATAGTTTATTTTTTGTATAAGAGAACATGAAATTTTACATTTTTTGCCATCATAGTAATTTAATAGGCAAAATTTTAAAATTCTCAATTTTTTTGCTATAAAGCGAAAATCAGAAGTGGTAACACACACAGTCTTATTCACCAAGGCTTGAACTATAAGAAAATGCCTGTTACCAGCTTCTAACATAAAGTTGCCATCAAACTCTTTTTAGAGGCACTTTTTGCCACCTTGGCAAAATGTTATTAAAACAATAATCAGACCAAAATGCACATTAATTGAATACGTTTTGTTCCATTGCAATGTTTGGTATTCGTTGAATTCCATCCGTCAAAACCTTAATCGTATAGTAATTGTAGCTCAATAAACTATAATTTTCATATTGAGAATGATGGAATTAAATTCAAATACATAATTCGTGCGAAGCAAAATGGCAGCCTGTCACGTCGTGAATGGAAAATTCCATCTTTCACCGAATGAAAATATGTTTACTCACATTTGAATCATTATTTGTATACTAACTTATTTGTTATTTGCTTTGGCAAAAGAATATTGAACTTCCAACTGAATCAACTGTACAAATAATGGGAGGGGGCACTTTTACATTTAGAAAATTGAAGTGTTTTTCCTTGGCGCGTGCCTTTCCTCCAAATTTACAAAAAAGGACGCGTGAATTAAACAAGTAATATATTATTAGCACCAATGAAGATCTGGCCGACGATGGAAGACGCGATTCAAACCTTTTACAGAATAAACACTTCTAAAAAAAGGTGTCCTTTTCCACAAACCTAAACTTCCGGATAGTTTCTTCCCTGTGTGGAGAAACGACGTCAAAATCAATATTTGACAAAGCGTCGATACTTAGTATGGGTAATGATAATGCAGTACTTAACGCTTAAAGTCGATATTAAATAATAAAGTTGCTTTGTCGATTATGATAATTATTCACGACGTCACCCATGACTTGGTATATAGCCCATCAACCCCTTCCTTTCAAAAATTAGCTTTAATAATTTTATAATGCTATTATATATTATTAATATAGTGAATTAGAATGTGTGATTTTGTATGGAGCGGCCCTAAGCAATGCATCTAACTGATATGACTTAGAATGCAATGACATTTGCGTTATTTCAGCATATAGGTATTACACCTCGGTGGAAAAATTCTGCATACGGCCCTGAACAGATGTACGAATGTGTCTTGTATAATACAGGTATATCAAATCTGAAAAGTCAGATTTGACACAAAGCCTTAAATTCACAAATGAATCAGTATTTTAAAAGCAATTTAAGTGTTGAATTGACGCATTTTTCTGCTAATTAAGATCGCATCCAGTTGCCGTCACAGTTGTGATTTCCTTCAGTTTACCGTTCATTTATTATTGATGAATTTGAGATAAAAGCAATTGAAATTTAGCAACAATTAATCGATGTACAATATTTATCGTTTTACAGATGACTACACTACGTTCCAGTATCAGCGAGATACAGTCAAATTTGAATAGGGAAATGGGCAATCTGCGTACGAGAGTAGAAAAAGCTGAGATGCAGGGAACTACTAATTCTTTGGGAATAAAGAGATGTGCTGCTCAGATAGATAATAATAGTAAAAAAATAAAGCTTCTTCATGACGAGCGTACCAATGAACTGTCCAGATGTTACGTTAAAGAAGAGGAGAAAATTCCCTATGTCTTCACTGCACCCCCGAGAAATCGCTACTTCGCTGGTCGAACAGGAGAAATCCAGGAGTTTAAACGTATTCTGGAAGTCGAGGAAACGTTGAACGAAAAGAAAGTTCGCGTTGCAGCAGTATGTGGTTTGGGAGGAATTGGTAAAACAAGCTTAGTTTCCGAGTATGCTCATCAGATGAAGGATTTCTATAAGGGAGGTGTTTATTGGTTCTCAGCTGAAGATGATGCGCATCTTTGCAAAACAGTGAACGCCATCGCAGTAAAAATTGGTGCATTACTCAATTCATTTGATTTAACGTTGCCAAATATCCTGAAAAAGATTAGCACTGTATATGATCCATGTCTTATTGTACTCGACTGCTTGGATCAACCTGATCTTTCGTCTAATATGATGGAATTCCTTTCCTTTCCTCCAAAAGAGAATTTCTTTGGGCATTTTATCTTGCTCACAAGACGAAACCCGAAACGACTTGTTAATGACGTTTCAGTTTTTGAAGAGAAGTTTTGTCTTCAACTCGAATGTTTGCAGTCTGAAGAAGCGAAGCAATTTCTTTTTTCAAGAACTATGGTAGCACGTGATGAAAATGAAAATGCTGAGAGTGTCGCAGAATGTCTTTGTGAGAAGCTGGGGAGACTGCCACTTGCTTTGGAACAAGCAGGAGCATATATTCAAATGCTGGGTTGCAGTTTGTCTTTATACCTTGAGCAATATGAGGCTCAACGCTTGCGACTGTTAAGTCTGCAACCAGCACGTCCTGTCGCACCTGGTAACGAGTCAACTCATCGTCTCGCCGTTCACACGACATGGCGTATCAATATAGAGTATATTGAGAAGAGCACAAATGGTCAGGCTGCTGTTCGATTTATGAATGCTTGTTCTTTTTTCGATGAAAAAGAGATCCAGAAAGAATTGGTCAACGTTGGAGCACCCGAAGTGGAAGACGTCACGTATCGTAAATGTGTGTCGTCGCCATTAGGTTCCCGTCAGGTTCTAAAATTGCTGACTGACTTTTCACTTTTCACGCATGTCGAAGCGGGCTGTGTCGCCACCCATCGTTTGGTCCAGGAACTAGTATGGGAAAATCTTGATCCTAAATCGAAAGCAGAGAGTTTCATCGATGCTGTGCGCATGCTTTCTTACGCATTCTCTAAATGTCCTTCACCCAGTAATCATGCTAGTTTAGATGAAAGGAATGGCGAAGAACAAGACATATCGTTCTCTGGTATACCAAATAGTCCTTCTCACTTTTATATTTGGTCTAAGTTTTGTATGCATGGCCATCGTCTTCGTAGAAATGTCGAAGATTTGTTGGTAAGTCTTGACTCTGTTTGTCTAGACTCGGTGTGGTTTCCTGAAACAGCTAAAATTCTTTACGAATGTGCGGTTCATTTGAGTGCAAATCACCAGCAGGAAGAAGCAAAGCGCACTTTGAACTTTGCTTACCGTATATTAGACTGGCTTCCTTTAGCAGGGTATGAAACGGTTGAAAAGAATGTTTCTGATGATTTCCTCTTTCCACTTCCAATCCCTTTACCGGAACTATTCCAGATGATGATTCCACGATTTTGCATACCAACGTTTATTTTCCTTGAATCTCTGACTGAAAAGCCTACTCCTGATGCTAGTGACCTTGCTCCTGAGGCTAGTAACCTTGCTCCTAATGCTAGTGACCTTGCTCCTGAGGCCAGTGACCTTGTTCCTAATGCTTGTGACCTTGCTCCTGTGGCTAGTGACCTTGCTCCTGAGCCTAGTGACCTTGCTCCTGATGCTAGTGACCTAGCTCCTGATGCTAGTGACCTTGCTCCTGATGCTATTGACCTTGATTTAGATAAGAAGATAGATAAATTTGAATTGGATGGAAACAAGGCTTTTAAAGAAGGTTTCTTCGAAGAAGCATTAGATGCGTATTCTTCTACAATAAATTTTGCTCAAGGTTGCAACAAACCGTTCGATCCCTTGTTACTTACTAACCGTTCAATGGTTTACATAAAATTGGAGCAATGCGAAAATGCTTTAAAAGATGCGAATGATTACATATCGCGCCGTCCATATTGCTGGAGGGGTTATGCTTTGAAAGCTCTGGCACTTGATGGCTTGAATAAGAAAGTCAGTGCCGACCTGGATGATAAAGCCAGTGCTGAAATAGCAGCCGCTGTAGCTTTTTATCACAATAGGAGAATTTTTACTGATTTCCCTATTTTCGTGGAATCTTTTCCGGACTTGCAAAGACGCATTTTTATATGCGATAGTGTGGATGAACTGTTCGATGCGATGTTTTCGCAGGAAGTAGAAACGGGTTTGTTGAAGATTTTGGTTTTGGGATCGGAAGAATATATCCTAAATTGTTCTGACAAACCTTGGAACAACTGTATTCTAGTTGGCACAAGAAAAAATTGTTGTGTTTCTTTGAAGTCAAACTATAACATTTCCTTGTTGAAGTGCATGCTTACAAATTTGTCATTCAGTTTTAATAATAAATGTAAGTTGCATTGTTTACCTGATTCGTTCGTCAAGATCTTTAACTGTATCTTTACTTCTTGTGATCATGATGATGATGATGATGATGATGATGATGATGATGATGCAGAAACTATAAAAACTGAAGGGGCATTCAATGCAGAACAATGCAGTTTTACAAGAAGTCCACTACTATGTGATAACCAAAGTCGTGCAGTTGTTCATGATTGTTCGTTTTGTAACAATACGTATCGTGGGTTATTGTTGCACGGAGGGACGTTGAGAATAGAAAACAGTCGCATATATAATAATGGCGATAATGGGTTGTTTGTTAAAGAAGGAGAGTGTGTTGCGGTTAAATGTGATATTCACGACAATGGTAGGAATGGAATCGAAGCCGACATGGGCAAGGGAAATGTCACGCTGATACGTAATAGTGTTTATAACAATGATAGGAATGGAATAGAGATAGGCTCATATGGGCGTATTGAAGGTGTGTTTGATGTCAGAGAGAACAAATTGTATGATAATGGCATTTGGGGAATTAAGGAGAGCGGTTATGCGGGCAATATATCGAAGAATAACATTTTTCGCAACAAGAATGGGGGAGTTTGTACAAACAATGATTCAGACAATAATTCAGACAATGATTCAGACAATGATTCAAAAAAATATTCTCCAGTTGTCGGGGAACGGAATAAAATTTATCATAATGGTGGTCCAGGTCTTGTGGTGGAAGGTGAAATTATTAAAGTCGCAGAATCGGGGTATTCAAATTCTTCCAGTTCCTTTCAATCTGCCAAAATCCAGAATAACGAAATGCACCATAACGTAGAAAATGAAAACGATATTAAGTTGAATTTTTCCGTCCCATATTGCTCGTATTGTCGTGTGAAGTGCAAACCGACAATGTGCGAAAAGTGCTTTACCACTGCGTATTGCAGCGAATCTTGCCAAAAACAACATTATTCGAAGCATAAGGAAATTTGCAAAGTTTTACGTGAGAAGTCAAGCTATTTGACAACTAATGCGAAAGCGGACGTGGCCAGTATGAGAATTGACAATCCAGAAGAAAGTCATCATAATTTAGAACGTCTACAACGATATTTCATTCCAACGCTCGCTTCCCCATCACGAGATGATGTAAGGTTTGTTGCAAAAGTGCACAATGCATACGACTTTCGCGAAGTCCTTCTGTACGACCGTGAGCAGGAATTTGCCGTGCGATTTTATTCCAAAGTTATTTCACAACTTCTAAAAGAGTTCGGTGTGCTATGTAGATCGCCCAATCTTAAGAAAAAGCTTTTCTTTCGCTGCCTTTGTGAAGACAACGGCCAGCTTCGACTATTCACAAATGAGTTTGCTGAATTTCAAAACTGGTGAAACCATATAATATTTAGTACTGCCATGTGAAAGAATGACTACTTGAACGTTTCTTGAGTGGAAACATTCGGTTCATCCGACTTTACCAAGAGAAATCAGTAACTGCAAAAATCCATTGCAGTAGCTGCAAAAATGTGACTAATTTCTATTATGAGGACTTGGTATTCAATTCCATTTGCTCCACGTTTTGGAGAACAGCCTTTTGACTATTAAATATATCAACGTGTCTGGCATGAGACATAGCAATTGTTTATTATAGTGGTTAGTTTAGCTTGTGGCCGCAACATACGGCTGGAACATACGGCTAGATCCAGTCCCAATGGGACTTTGAAAGGTCGCATTACGTGATTTAAATGCTGTAAATATAACTTACAATTTTAAAGACGACAACTTAGAAAGAATTTTGGATATACTGTAGAAGGAAATTAAGAAATATCGCTTGAATAAGTGTGAATCGTGGAAACGAAATATGTTATATACTGTAAGTTTATTTTTCTTTTCGTTCCGAATATGTTTAACAGGTGCAATAAATATTACTAATACCAAATATCGTCCGTGTATAACACCCCCCCCCTCCGGTATACCGCTAATTTAAAAAAGGTTGTCTTTCGAAACTCTAAACCTTCAACCTTAAAACTCTAAGCGCGAAAAGAGCAATAGGAACACACAGTGTTTGCCGTATTTAGTCAGAAAGACTTAATTGTCATATAATCCTTGTGTTTACAGCCAAGATTTACGACGGAGAGCGTTCCCATTGCACTTTTCGCGCATAGACTTTAAGGTTAACGGTTTAAGGTTTGGAATCTGAAAAAGTTCTGAATTGGCTGTATAAGCCCCACGTATATAAGCCCCCCCCCCCCCCAATGTACTGTATGAGCTCATCAGCCTCATCATAAAATGCAGTTACGAACGAATATTAGCCTAGGCTTGATATTTGATATTCTGAGGTTTACGGTATGACTTTCTAGTACTAATTTTACGGGAGATGTGTTGCATGGGAGATATCAGAGACCTTACGATTTAGGACGGCAACGGATCATTGAAAATAATTCAATAACTACAATATATGAATAATTTAGACATTGTCCTCGTTTACAAGCCAAATCACAGACTTTCACGTCTTGATTCAACGGCTGCATTTCAAGCCTACAATAAGTGCAACTTCAAACTGGGTTCAGTACAACTCTTCCCAACCGTAAAACCCATCATTTGTCTTCAAATTCTAAGACTGTATTCAATTCATGCGATTGATAATATACGACGATTTATCTTTACTACCATTTATTTGAAGGAGTTTGTTTTGGCTGTTGTCGTCGCGTTGCCGTCCTAAAATCGTAAGGTCTCTATCGACTAGTTCGCATCTTTCATTTTAGCGCCTTGTAATATTTCATGAATATTATAATTCTCATCTTAAGGGTACCGATAAAGTTATTAAGTTTAATACAGGATACCCTAGGCACGCGTTTCAGGAGATCTACCATTACTCCGCGAATTTATATCCAATTTCTATCACATTTTCGCCGAAACAGTCAGATAAATGGGGAATAACATAGTGTTATAAAATATACGAGAAAAATTTTTCCCCGAATATTGCTACAAGTTTATGTTAACTTTGTGGTACCCTCGATGTTAAACGTCGGTTTTACTAAAAGTTGAAAGGTATTGTAGATGAAAATTATCGAGTGAAAATTTATATACATTTTATATAATATCAGACCAGTGCTTCCATTTTGAAGGAAATTTCCTTTTTGAAGGAAATCTAAATAGTTGAAGGAAATAATAAGGAAATTCCAATCTGAAGGAAATTTGAAGGAAATTTCGGAAGATTGAAGGAAATGTGAAGGAAATTGCCTTATTTCTAAAAAATCCTAAGAATACGGCAATTTCCAAGGAAATGCGCTTCAAAATATGCTCAAAATCCTGCGAGATGCAAAATCTGAAAATTTTCTGAGGTCTTTTTTCCACGAGAAACGTCGAGACCCCAGACCCCTCTGCTTATTCTTCCTCGTGTTAATCTAGATAAACTCTTTGTCTCTCCCCTTTGATAATTCAGCTCCTACAACGTCTATGTTCCTTCTAGAACAAGAAATACCGTGTTATTCGAGATAAATTACTATAAAATCATTTTTAAATTAGGGAAAATTGAATAATTTTTAATGCAAGGCAATTTCTTCAAAAATAAGGAAATTTTGAACGGTTGGAAGGAAATTATGTTTTTTGAAAATGGAAGCACTGTCAGGAACAGCTGCGAAAAATGTAACTTTAGGTCCCTCGCAGGAATCGAACCTGCGGCCTGCGATTCCGGTGCAGCGCTCTAACCAACTGAGCTACAGAGGCCAGTTGTCGAGCTCTAACCACAATTTCATGTTTTATCTAGTACATATACAGGGTGTCTCAAAAAAAACGCTACGGAAATTCAACAGACCGTTGTGCATCACAAACTTAACTAAACAGTTTAATTTTTACATAGGACGAAAGAGCTATTATTTAGCTTCTCTATGATACCTTTCTTAAACCGTAACGATGAGAAATGGCCACGTACTCGTCAAATAAAATTGTCGGTCGAAATCACATTCTTCCACCGTTGGGAATTGAAAGTACATTAATTATGCAAAGTTAATCAATCCAAAAGCAACGCAAGCCTTCTGCAAGGTACTTGTTTCGTAAAACGTTTTGATTACGAATGTTCTCTGTTCAATGGTTAATTGAACCCATGTTTAATGCAATCATGGACGTTCTTATGGTCTCACTGAGACAAGGACGGACGGTTGAGCTTATTTTAGATAATTTAACATTCAACTTTAATTCCCTCTTGGGAATTATTTATTGTTCGTTTTCCTTGCAACTCCCAACGGTGGAAGAATGTGATTTCGACCGACAATTTTTGTTTGGTGAGTACGTGGCCGTTTCTCCTCGTTATGATTTAAAAAGAGTATCATTGAAAAGCTAAATAACTGTTCTTTCGCCCTATGTAAAAATTGAATTGTTTAGCCACGTTTATGATGCACGACAGCCTGTTGAATTTCCGTAGCGTTTTTTTAGACACCCTGTATACTAGGGTACTTCCCATGGGTAAATATCAAGATTTTGTTGCCAACTCGCTAGTTTGAATAATAGTTGAAGGTTATTGTTGACATGCAGAAAATGTAGTATATTAGAAAGGGTATTGTAGATGGGTATTGTGAGATGTGAACAAAATCTTTATATTTACCCATAACCTAACATGCATGGCAGTACCCTATATAAATTTCAACTCGATAATTTCCATCTAATACCCTTTGTACTCTTTCTAAAACATTTTAATTCAAACGAGTTAGATGCCAACAAAATCTTGGTTTTACTAAAAGTTGTCAAACTATATCGTTTTTGCCTTTCTCGAGGATTGTTCTAAGAAATGTGTTCACATTTTATTGTTGCTTTAGGGATTATTTAGCTAAGGCATATAGTCTTTCCCGACATGTGTTATATTGCAACCAATGCACAACAAAAGGCTTGTAACTATAATTGTAACTTTGCAACTACACCTACAACGTGTGCAAATTTAAGACATACACCTACAACGTGTGCAAATTTAAGAACAATCTGTTAAAACGCACGCTTAACGCAATAACGCCCCCTTGTTATAGTGCGTGTATACGACTCAAAATTAATGTGTCTGAAAATTTACTTGTAAAAAATCTTTTTGAAATTTTTAATTAACGTTTTAGAGCAAACTATAAGATCAGAATCAGATCTGGAAAAAATGTGAAAAGGTTCTCGGATCTTGAATTTGCCTTTTTCAAATGTTCTTCAAAAGTGCTAAAAACAATCGAAAATTTCACAGTTCATTACGCCAAATTTTAAACATTGAACAACACTTCACAATCCCTAATGACAGATAAGGAAGTATGATCTAATGATTGCTTAAGGGTGGATTTCTACTTGCAGAGGATATTTCGTCGTCCAAATATTTCGCTTGATTTCTTTTGAATTGTGACCATCCGAATAAATCAGTTCTACTTGACCGCTCAACAATTCAAAAGAAATTGAGCGAAACATTTCGACAGCGAAATTTTTCTTGCAAGTGGAAATCCAGCTTAAGATTCTGCCATAACCTATATGTGTGAAAAGTTGAAAATGAATGTTCCTCAATTATTTTCTTGCTATAAGGCAAGTGTTCCTTAAGATCCCAAGATCTCACTTTTTTCCACATCTGTATAGAACTTACTTCTGATTATTGTCTTGTGTGAACCTGGAAAATTTTGAGAAATTAATCTAGAGTTATTTTTGCAACATTCAGCAGTTTTGGTTGTGAGAGCCATGGAATTACACTCAGAAAACATTCTTAGAGTTTCGAAACACTCTTCTAAACTAATTCATCACTATTTTGCTTATATTTTAAAAGACAAAAGAGACATTTTATACGAATTTTAATATCAAATGTAATGTTCTTTACTTCTTTTTATGATATAGTATTTATAATATTCAGTATAAATGATGAAATTAATGCAAATTACCTGTTGTTTGATTTTGCTGTAATGCTTATATGACAGCGTTATCTTCGCAGCCCTAGAGGCCTTATCTCATAAATCCATGGCATTCTACACAATGAGCTGCCACATGTTATGATCCACACCTTTGTAGCATGAAATCCATCCCCAGACTCCGCGCGCGTTGTTCCTTAGTTGTTAATCATGGTTATTGCATAACCTTTTTTAACACCTACAGTAACATAAGCAAAGGGTGGGAGGCCTACAGTTAACCAAATATTTGCAATTACTTGGATTCAGTTTGACCTGACAAACCAAAATGATATCTGTATCCAAAAATCTGTTTCGGAAAACGCACGAAATGAAGTCCTAGGGGTGGAAGAAAAGTGGTGTAACTGGCGGTTGTCAAGTGACGGGAGCCCCACGCCAGGGATGACCATAAAAATGTTTGCTAGTACATTTCCGAGGAATTGAATAATGAAAACAGAAAAGCAGTTATTATAATACATGAATTAGTAGTTAGAATATATGTAATTGCAAAATATTCTCACAATAGGCCTACCTCTAGCTAGCTGATTCGAGGCAGGTACAGTTCTACTTTACGCAAAATGCGAATGCTATGTTGAACAGGTACTGTAATGTAATATAGTTTATTCCTAAACTAAAAACATCTAACTTTCGCATTGCGATTGTGTTGCTTGTAATACACCCTGTTGTTTAGTGGGAGATGGGACCAGGGACGGCCGATTGATGGGGGGGGGGGGGGGGGGGGTCACTTGAGGTTGCGTTACGCCAATGCCCCACTCCTTCTTAATATTGCATACGACACCACATCAAACTTTTTGTCACCAAAAACCATCTTTCATCTCTCTACGGTCAGTATAGTATGGTCCTTTTCTGTAGAGACCCTCCCACTGACGAAAAAAAGGCCCCGGTTTTTGCTGCGTCCCAAAATGGCTTACCACATGTGCACACGCAAAAAGCTCACATCTTGTAGCAAGTCTGTCAACAAGTTGTGTTCGCATTGCTTGTCCCAAGCTTGGCGCCAACAACTTGTCCAAGCTGTTAACAACAAGCGTTGATATTATCAAACTTGTTGCAAGGTTGTTCCAACAAGTCCGATACAAACATGGCATAACAATATTGTTACAAGCTTGTGTCGTCAACATTGTAACACATTCTTGTTATATAGTGATTGTATCAGATTTGTTAGAACAACCCTGTAACAAGTCTGATAATGCTATCAAGCTTCTTACAAGTTGTTAACAGCTTGTTCCAAACTTGTTCCAACAACTGGGAACAAGCAGGGCGAACACAACATGTCACGTCCACAGTTTATGAACAGATTTCAGAGATTTGTAACAACTTTTTTGCAGACTTGTAACAACTTGTGCGTTTTACGTGTGTAACGCGTTACATCATACTCACGAAAAAAAGCCCATACAGACCAAACGCGATTCAACAACGCGACGCGAATTTTCAAAATTGCTTAAGTGGTTCCGAATATTTGAAAAACATAGAAAAATATTAAAGTTAAATGTCATTGAAAATTGAAAATTCGCGTCGCGTTGCCAAATCGCGGTCTGTACGGGCCTAAACGCACAAATTGAAACAAATCTGCATCATACTTGTAGCAAAGCTGTTCCAACAACTTGCCAACAGGATGTGTTTCCACTGCTTGTCCCCAGCTTGTTGACAAGTTGTCAACGGCAACGGACTTGTTACAAGTTATTCCAATTACAACTTGTTATCGTCCTGCAATTCATCAATTTGTCAACAAGTTGTGAGCGACAACCTTGTAGCAACTTGATAAAATAACAGCATTTTACAACTTGTTCACAAGCTCGCTACAAGCCTGTTGCGAACACATCTTGTTGACAAGTTGTGGGTTTCTTTACGTGTGTAGTAACC